AATTTAGTCTTCCCACTTCTTCCCAGATCAATTTGGATGTCACTTCATCGTACTCTGGAATATATTCCTGTAACACAATATAAGAGTATAAAGTGAATTGAGTTGTAGCTTAATCATTCATACAATCACAAGGCAAATTTCCCAAAGGAACACCTACTATAAAAGTGAGGCCTTTTTTCATTCTCTCTCTCCAACTTGGTCTTTCTTAAAACAATTTTCACATAGTAACGTGGAATAAAGTAAAAGTTTCTATTCTTATGGGATTATGAAAAAAAAAAAAAAAAANGACACGATAATTCTTCGTGCAGTTGGAGAGACAAAACCTTCGTCAACGGCTTTATCAATAAAAGACAACAAGGAATTATAGTAACCCTCAACATTCAACAGGCCCACCTGCATATGTTGATATGATTAGATTAGTGAATTAATTAAGATTAAAAAGTACATTATGTGACTTAATGTCGTGCAAAATGTCTACTTTTGACCAACACTAATCCCATTTTTCTAATTCTAAGAACTTTTCTCCAATTCATATGGTGATCTGCCTGTGAAATTCAAATCAGGTTAGCATGACTATGATTGCAAAACGAAATTTTGTAAATCTTTCCATGTGAACCATTACAAGTTCCACATGCATTGAGAAGTTTCCCCTTCCATTCCGTAAGGACTATTGACCAAAATCACGACGAACATGTTTTCAGTGGTATATGAATCGAATGCCAATCACACCAATTGTCATTATAACATGCTACCACTGTTTTTATAGATTAAATTTAAAAGGTATGCCCCGATAGAGCAATCTGAAACTAGGTTAAAAAGTAGCTCACAGGTTTACGATGGATCCCAAGCTGAGCCCACGTAATAACTTCAAGCAACTCTTCGAGCGTGCCATAACCCCCTGAAAGTGAATATGTATTTGCTTTTGATTTATTTCACGTGCTTAGGTTTAATCGATTTAAAAGCATAAAAGAGATTTGCATACCGGGAAGGGCAATGAAGGCGTCAGCTTGTCGGGCCATCTCAGCTTTCCTCTGATGCATATCAGATACAGCTCGTACTTCCCCAATAGTTTCACCAGTTATCTGTTGTGACAACACAATGCATTATCAACTAGAATATATGTTTAGACGACAATAAATACTAAACTTAAATGCCTTAAACCACTACGTAGTTGAACATCGTTGTGGTTTTTTTCCTTCTAGATGTATTGCTTTTGCCAAATTATAATTCACATTGAAACGAAGATTTTCAGAGAAAAGAAGAAGCTTGATTAAAAATTTCTACTCGTACCTCCCGGGGCATGAGAGTCCTCGGAATAACCCTGCAAGTAAAGTAAGAGTTTGAGTATAAGAATTTGGAAATGTCAGAAGTCTCGAGATGAAATCCCATGGGACCAAGACTATACTATCGATTATAGAAAAGCAACAAAAAATATTCCTCATAAACTTATTCATATGCATATCAATTCATTGTCCCTCCCTTAATAAAAAAATGACAACAAAAAGAGTACATCCTACAAACAGCCTAAAAGGCAGAACACTTTTCGTCAAACCTTTTACACTTTTGCATTATGTTTCTAACAAGAATTTCACTTTTTATTCTGATCCAAATCAGTTCACTTTATACTCTTCAAGGTACTACTAAGATTTGTACTGTCAAATATCACTGCTTATTACTCTCAAATCAAAGAATTACAATTTTCGAAGGACGTCCACTTTTAGACGTGGCGATATTGAAGGCTTTTAGATCATTGTAGTGTCGATCGAGTGTCCAGTACTGAATACCAAAATGTATGTGTGTGCTTGTGTTTGTGTGCACATAGAGTGAGGGGGAGAGAGAATAATACCCTAGAACATGGCGCCCACCATCATGAACAGCCTGAGAAACAAGACCCATAAGACCCACACTCCCACCTCCATAGACCAAATCAATACTTTTCTCCACCTTCAAGAAACACACACATTGAAAAGAGCAAAATAAAACTCATCAAACACGCGTCACAACCAAATGTGTTACTATAAACAATTGATCAACAAACAAAACCCATAAATTATATAATTCATAGGATGCCTCAAAAATCATGGCAAACTGCGAGCATGGCTTTTCAAATGATTGTATTTGTATGATTATACGTGCATGAACATGTATAAAACTACAGTATATATTTCCCATAAAACAAAAATCATGAAGCTCTGGTAATAGAACAACACGCTTAAAAGAGTCATGATATCAAGATGGCACGTTTGGTTTCCTAATCCAAAGGCAGAATTTATTTATTTTTATAACAAATTAAACTTAAACCAATTAAGATCACGCAAGAAGGGCTTCTCTGAAATGACAGCCAGGTAACAGCTACCTTCTAATTTCTCTCTCTAGTTTCTCATGTCAAACCAAACATAAACCCTAAACCTGATTTCTCCCCAAGACCCATCTGCCGCAGTGCCCGGTTGAAATCTGTGGGTTCTTCACATATATGTGTGTGTTTGTGTGTAAGATGTATAAATCTGGCAATCAGTTTAACAAAATTAAGAGAGAGAAATGTGGAGGAAAATCAGTTGTGCAAGAGCAGCTTTTGTACATTTCTGCATATTGATGAACCATACTGAATTCTTTAAGAACTTGAAGGATTCAAATCGAAAGTAAAATAGAGGTGGAGACGATTAGATAGCTCTAGACAGCATAAAATCTTTTTGATTATACTATCCCGGCTCAATATGTATAAATGCCACAATGCTGTGAGCGTACATTAATGTAATAATTTGGAATTGAAACACACGGTGCTTGATATATGATTACCATTTCGTTGCCCAGCTCAATAGCAGCTTCTTGATAACTTGGTTTCTTGCCAGAACTGCTCCCACAGAATACACAAATTCTCTTGAATCTTGATTTTATCTCCTCCATTTCACTCTACCCCTCTCTCTCTCTCTCTCTCTCTCTGTGAATGATGATTGATGTCTCTTGTACTGTGAGGGGGCGAGAAATGAGAACAAAATAAGTCATAATTTATAGGTTTTTTTATATAGGCACAACAAGGAGCTTACGCAACCTCTCTCCAACCAATGATCATTAGAACCTCTAGTTGTGGAATATTTTCTTTTGTCATTTTCTTACTTACGTTGGAATTAAATTTAAATTAAAATCAATAATAAATTTTATTCACGTGTATTTTGCGAGACCTATAACCTTTTAATCACACACTCATCAATCTTTTATCAAAATTTATCAAAAATCTAATTTCATTCTCCACCCAAATTTTTTTTTTTTTAAATTTCCATTACTTAGGGTCAAAAGAGTACTTTCAAGATAATTTATCTTCCATATCAACAATAGCCATGTCTCTAGTAAACTAAAATAACAAATCCATTCTCTATACATCATATGTTATGTTACTATTGCCATGCTATTCTTTTTAACCTAAGAATTGCAAGCTTCATCAGATTCTTTAGCTAATGCAGGTAACATTATTGCTGATGTCAAGCAACTCTTGTCAAGATTTCAGGAAGTCCAAATTCAACATATTAATCGTATGAGCTCATGCGCGCATTGGCTACTAATGCTTGAAATGTTGCTGATATCTCTATATGGTGGGATCATATTCCATCTTTCCTTCAAATTTTTTTATGGCTTGATGCCAATTCATGTATGGATGCTAATTGATTATTAATACATGAATTGCTGTTTATCAAAAAAAAAAGATCAACCCGTTATAATAAAAAAATAGTAAAGTAAATACAAAATAATTAAAAATTTCGAATACGATTTTAATCTTCCTTATCAAAAATGGATAACAAGATAATAAATTTTTTAAATATCATCCAAAAGACGACCATCTTTTAAAGAAAAACAATGTAATCAAACATCATGGATATTTTAGGATCAAAACCAATTTAAATATGAATAAACGAAGATTGCGTAAAGTAGCGACATTGTTTTCTTTAATCCTAGCATGAACCTCGCGTGTAACAACTGTTCACAAACAAATTGAGATTTGTTAAAATAAAATAAAAATATTAGAATTTATTATTAATTATAAGGATTTATTTATCTATTTATCTATTAATTACTCTAATTAATTGATGCAATATCTTTGATAAGATCGATCGAATAGTGAGGATCTTCACGTTTCTGGCCTAATTACCTACCACAGTTTCAACTCCATGTCCATGGCCATGGCCAAGACCCTTAACAAAACAAAATTACTGTTAATTTTGTTAAACAATCCAAAGAGAAGAAGAAAAAGAGGCTAGAGTTTTATTGATTCTGCATAATGTAATTGAATTAATAAAACCTAGATACAAAGAGACTATATATAGTCAAAAATAAAGAAAACTTAAAAGACTATTCTACCCTTAATAAATAATGTTAACAAAATAATAATATATTTCTTAACATCTCCCCTCAAACTCACGATGCAGCAGCTACAAGCATCGAGAGTTTGCCAACAAGAAAACGAAAACGAGAAATAGAATGCGCCTTGGTAAAGAAATCTGCAAGCTGTAAAGAAGAAGAAACAAATGGCAAAGTAATTGTGCCATGCTTGAGATGATGACGAGTAAGGTGACAATCGATCTCAATGTGCTTAGTTCGTTCATGAAAAACCGAGTTGTGAGCAATCTGAATGGAACTCTGATTATCACAATACATAGGAGTGGGATGTGAAAGAAAAACTCCCATATCTGCAAGTAACCAACGTAACCAAACAATCTCTTTGGTAGTGGATGCCATAGCACGATATTCTGCTTCGGTTGAAGATTGAGACACAATAGATTGCTTCTTGCTCTTCCAAGAAATAAGAGAATCACCCAAAAAGATACAGAAACCAGTAACAGACTTACGATCTGTGGGATCACTGCCATGATCAGCATCAGAGTATGCACGCAGCTCCAAGGAAGATGTGGATGGAAGTAAAAGACTCTGAAAGACTGTACCCCGAAGATATCGCAAAATACGAAGAACAGCTGCCCAATGAACTGTAGTAGGAGAAGCAACAAACTGACTAACAACATGAACAGCATATGCAATATCTGGACGAGTAATAGTGAGATATACCAAGCTCCCAACAATAGTACGGTATAAAGTAGGATCTGATAAAGGCAAACCATCAGAAGAAGAATACTTTGCGTTAACCTCAATGGGAGTATCAACAGTCTTATTATCAGTAAGTCGAGCCCGTTCAAGAATATCTGCAACATATTTCGACTGAGAAAGAAGATAACCTCTAGGTGAGCAGGCTACCTCAATACCCAAGAAATATCGTAGAGAACCCAAATCCTTCATTTCAAACTGTCTAGCCAACTCTGTCTTCAAGACTGAAATACCATCAATATCATCACCAGTAATAATCATGTCATCAACATATAAAGATAGAATGATACGACCTGCATCAGTGCACTTAACAAAAAGAGCAGAATCATGACTACTAGAAGTAAATCCAAGAGAAGAGATCACAACAGAAAATTTCTCAAACCAAGCACGAGGTGCTTGTTTGAGACCATACAACGCCTTCTTGAGTTTGCAAACATACCCAGAATCATGTGGAACACCAGGAGGGGGAGCCATATAAACTTCTTCTTGAAGATCTCCATTTAAGAAGGCATTTTTAACATCAAGTTGAGAGATACGCCACTGACGAATCGAAGCTATTGCAATAAGAGTACGAATAGTAGTCATTTTTGCAACAGGAGCAAATGTCTCCTCATAATCCATACCATACTGTTGAGAGTACCCTTTTGCAACCAACCTAGCTTTGTATCGCTCAATTGATCCATCAGAATTAGTCTTGATCTTATACACCCAACGACAACCAACAACACTCTTACCAGGAGGTAGAGGAACCAAATCCCAAGTACCAGTCTTATGCAAAGCAGAAAGTTCCTCATCCATAGCTTGCTGCCAAAGAGGATCAAGAATTGCCTCTTTATAGGAAGAGGGCTCAGAGAGACAATGAATAGAAGCTAAAAAGGAAGTAAAAGATGAAGAATAACAAGAATAAGCAAAATCTGGTAACTTTGTAGACTTACGAATGCGTATGGATTGACGTAGAGGTGGATCCACAGTCTCAGACGGAGCTTGAGGGACCATAGGAGAAGAGGGAGCTTCAGGTGTGCCGGAGAGTAAAGTGTCAGTACATGCAGAATGATCAGTATTTGAAGTGCTAGGAACTTGAGATGATAAACTATCAGAATCAGTAGAAAAAGGATCTATACGAATAAGATCAGATCTAGTCAAACTATGAGTAGTTGATGGAATAGAAAAGAAAGGTATATGCTCGAGAAACACAACATGACGAGACACATAAAGTTTCTGAGTTATTGGATCAAAACAACGATACCCCTTTTGACCTTCACCATAACCAAGAAAGACACAAATAGCAGATCGAGATGACAACTTGCTGCGTTCTACATGAGGACGAAGAACGAAACAAGTACAACCAAAAACTCTAAAGAAAGAATAATCAGGGGCATACCCATACAACTTTTCGAAAGGAGAAAAACCTGAAGTATGAGAAGATGGAATTGTATTAATCAAACTTACAGCAGTAAGAACAGCTTCACCCCAATACACACTAGGAACTGAAGTAGACAACAAGAGAGAGCGAGCAGTTTCAACAATGTGCCTATGTTTTCTTTCAGCAACACCATTTTGCTCAGGAGTATCTGTACACGAAGTTTGGTGAATAGTTCCATCTAAGGCAAGCAGTTCAAAAAATTTTTTAGAAGTGTATTCCCCACCCAAATCACACCTAAAACATTTGATAACAGCAGAATGTTGAGTTTTGACAAGAGCACGAAATGTTGTGTATATCTCAAAGAATTCAGAACGATGTTTCATTAAGTAAACCCAACAATAACGAGTATGATCATCAATAAAAGAAACATAATACCGGGACCCTCCTTTTGTGGCAACAGGAGAAGGCCCCCATACATCAGAATGAATCAAATCAAATGGAGAGGAAGAAATAGAAATACTTCGATTAAAAGGTAAAGCTGAAAATTTTGCCAGTTTACATCCACTACAATCTGAAATATCATAAGGTTGCAAATTTCCTAATGCCCCTGTAGAAGCCAAATATCTCAAACGAGAAGACGAAACATGACCTAGACGAGAATGCCATAAATAAAAACTAGAAGAAGAAGGACTCAAACGAAAAGAAGATAAATCAACACTAGTAGCAGCAGCAGCAACTGGTACTTTTAACTCATCCAAAACATATAGTCCCCCCTTCCTACGGCCTGTCCCAATCAGCTTCTGAGACTGGAGATCCTGCACATAACAAGAAGAAGAAGAAAATGTGACTAAATTACCAGAATCACATAACTGACCAACAGAAGCAAGATTTAATTTGAGTTTCGGAATATGATAAACATTAGGGAGAGACAAGTGAGGTGTGACAACAGAACCAACACCTGCTAAAGGCATAGGAGTGCCATCAGCAGTCATGACAGGAATACAAGACGAATGAGACACGAAAGCAAAAGATGAAGAATCTGGAGACATATGATGTGAAGCACCAGAATCCAAGACCCAAACAGAATGTGACATACCTGAAGAACTATGAGGCAACTGACCTACAGAAGCAGACATAGCTTGTGGCTGTAAGGAGAGAAACTTCTGAAATTGCTCAGCCAGAGTACCAGGATCTGTGAAAGGACCCGATGAAGCTACCGCTGCAGTATTGAACTGTGGTGGTCTATAACCCTGAGGTGGTCTACGATCGTTCGATTGTGATTGATTGCCAGGCTTCCAAGCTTGGAATTGCTGCATTGTACGATTCTGCTGTCTCAACTTAGGACACTGAGCCTTCCAATGACCTTTCTCCTTACAGAAACTGTACTCATCACGGGCAGCCCTTGCGTGAAACATATTATGATTATTAGACAGTGACTTAGAAGGCATTGCTA